AAAAAAAAGATTGTGTTAACTTTTACAATATGGAAATACTTTCCATAGTTTTCCTAATTGTCTTGGCTTTGACCTCCAGCACAATGTTGAATAAAAATAGAGAGAGTGGACATTTTTGTTTTCAACTTGATCTTACAAAGAATCCTTTTCTGTCTTTGACCAGAACTGTGATGTTGGCTGTGGTATTTTGGTAGATGCCCCTTTTCAGGGTGAAGTTTATTCTAATTTTTCAAGTATGAGTTTTATTATGAGAGGTATTAAGTTGTATATAACGCACAGTATCCCATAGTATTTTGATTTTCATCCATCTGTTGATGAACACTTGGGTAGTGTTAGACTTTTGATGTTTATCAGTTAGAACGATGAAACAAGTTTTGAAAATTTCCTTGTCATGACCTAGAATGGATATCTTTTCATATATTTGAGACATTTATATTGCCTCCGTAGCTTGTAAACTCTCCCTTGACTGGTTTTCTGTTGGGTTGTGTGTCTTGTGGGTTTATAGAAACTTTATCTGTCTTAGGGGAATTAATCCTTTATTTGTGTAAACAAGGCTGACTTTTTGCCCTAAGTGGGGAGATAGTATATAGATAATTCAGAAAACTTCCAGTTGAAGTCCACACTAAGAAGCAAATAAAACAGGATATCATTATGGTGAGAGGGTGGGGGTTTGCTTAAATGGAAGGCCAAATGGGAGATAATATACAAGGCCAGCTTGGAAGTACAAGATGGACCAACTGTTCAAGTAGCTGGAGGGAGAGAAGTGCAAAGACGTGTGAGCAGGTGTGCGCCCACCTTATTTGGGTTGCTGTATAGTTAGTAAAGGGCAAGCATGTCAGGTATGTTTTGAAAGGAGGCGGGGCCAGACCCTGCATTTAGCAGATCATCAGGCGAACAGATTTAATCCAAGTCCGGTGAGAAAAGAAGCCCGGTGGCCTAGCGGTTTCCTCACTGGGCCGCGAGCAGTTTAAAAGCACCAGCAGCTCCAAGGGGCCTTTCTAGTCCTGTAAACAGTTAACAGTCTCAGAAATTCACAGGGGCCTGTCCTCCCTGTCCTATAGTGTCCCTGTGAGGTAGTATTACCTCCATGGCAGTGAATGGTTTTGGTTGATGGTGGGAAATCTCTGAAGGTTAGTGTGCAGGAAGTGATGATAGCATAAGTAATTTTATAAATCATTAAAATTATTCGAGGTCTTTTAATGACTGCTTATTTTATGGTTATATATTAAACCCATTGCTGAATAATTTTATCCCACTCTTAATTTTGAATATTAAACGATCTTGGTAAACAAATCTGTAGTTTCTGATTATTGAACTATTTCCCTACAAGTAGAATTTGTGAGCCTTTTCTCAAAGGTGTTTGACACATGAGATTCAGTAACCCTCTGGTGTGTGCATGTGTGTTACAGAGTGTGTTAGCGACAACTACTGGTTTGGGAGGGACAGAAGCTGTGAATACTGCTTTGATGAGCCACTGCTGAAAAAAACAGACAAATACCGGACCTACAGCAAGAAGCACTTTCGGATTTTCAGGGTAGGTGCCAAGCACCCGTGTACTTGGGAGAGAACTGGCAATTCAGTCCTTCTCTATTGATCTCCCCTTAATTAAAACTTTGATTAAAACTGGCCAGAGCTTGTTTAAAAAAAAAAACTTTGAAAACAAACTGTTCTCTCTTTTAGGAAATGGGTCCCAAGAACTCTTATATCACATACATCGAAGATCACAGCGGGAATGGAACCTTTGTAAATAAAGAACTTGTAGGGAAGGGAAGACGACTTCCGTTGAATAACAATTCTGAAATTGCACTTTCTGTATGGAGTAATAAAGGTAACGGTTATGTTGCTATGGGTCCGGGGTCTCCCCCTCCTGGGAAATAGGCAGATTGTATCTCTGTTTTTGTAGATTAAGGTTTTTATGAGAGTTCACAGCCAAGGTTCAATTCAGTCCTCATGACATTAAAAAAATAAAAAGACTTTATTGTTGTTGTTAAGAATATACATAGCCAAACACACCAGTTCAACAAGTGTGCACAATTCAGTTATATATATATGTATATATACTTAAAATCACTTATTGGGGGCTCTTACAGCTCTTATAACGGTCCATACATCTATCCATTGTGTCAAGCACACTTGTACATATGTTGCCATCATCATTTTCAAAACATTTTCTTTCTACTTGAGCCCTTGGTATCAGCCTCCTCCCCCCATGAACCCTTGATCATTTATAATTTTGTTTTCATCTTTACACCAACCACTGTCTTCCTTCACCCACTTTTCTGGTGTCCGTCCCCTGGGAGGGGGTTGTACATCGATCCCTGTGACAATTCAGTAATACTGATGGCCTGGTTTGAGTTGTGCAACTGTTCTCACCTCCTTTTGTGGGTTCTCATTCCCATAAGCCCACTGCCCACTCAGGTGCCTCTGTCATCTTCGAGTGGCTGTTGTCAATTTGATTCCATTGAGATGGCTCTCGGAGCTCACAGTGCTCAGGGCAGATTTTCACAAGTTAAATTGTTGCTGGCTTTTAAGAAGACTTAAAGGGATTTTTTTGAGGGGGGGGCGGTGGGGGTCATTTAAACATTAAAGATCGTCGCAGGGCAGTAGTTTCAAGGCTTCATCCAGCCTCCCAGAACGTTTGGAGTTTGATACAGTTGAAGTTCTGCTCTGTGCTCTTCCCTTCTTTTAATCAGGCTTGTTTGATCTAGAGGTTTGAGGAATGGTAATCAGACTGTCCTCAGTTCTTCTGGCCTCCTGGCAAAGGAGGCAGTTGCCCGGAGGCAATTAGGCACACAGTCCATTTCCTCATCTCCTGTGCTTGACTTCTCCTTTTTCTGTTGTTGCTCCAGGCAAATAGAGACCAATTGTTATGCCTTGGATGTCCCACTGCAAGCTTTCAAGTTCACAGGCACTGTGGTCAGAGGTGGATGTGTTAGACAGGGTTCTCTAGAGAAACAAAACCAGAACACTAATAATTTTATATGTATTTATGCAGATAGATAGATAACATACGAAATAAACAGTTCATTACATTATAAAGCAGGACAGATGGCTCAGTGCAAGTCACTCCCGTGAGACAGTTGTGAGACACTGGCAGTCCTTCAAGTCTTGAGGGC